CCCCCCCCCCCCGCCGCGCCGGCGGGGCCTCCCGCCCCACTCCTGCTGTCCTCCCTGCTCCCTCATCCTCCGCCCTTCCTCAAGCAGCCCCTGCTGCTAAAAAAGCAGGATTCGGCCTCAGAGGGAGAGGTCTTTTCAGACCTGTGGACTGAAACGGGAAAAAGCCGTAAGAAGAGACTTGGACTGAAATCGCTGACTCACTGCTTTGATGATGAGCAAAATTCGGAGAAGGCAAGGATTTATTTTTATGACACGTGTATATTATGAGCGTCTCTTTGTGCCACTCGTTCTCATGCTGTGTTATGCGTCCGTGTCAGTGCGTTCGTTCTACAGATGTTTTTATTTTGTCTTATTTTTGGATGGACATTCAGGGATGTTTTGTCCCCGCACACTGATTCGAACAAACTGACTTCGAAATCTCTAAAAGACACCTCATCTCAGGGCTTCAGCGGAGTTAGAGACAGACTAACTCAGGTCTGGCTTTGAAAGAACAGGTAAGAGTTGTCTTTTGTTTCCACTCAGGGCTTCGGTGGACATGTTCTTCAGCTGTAAGGCTGTGTCTGAGCCTAAAGGGCCAAAAAGGCCCCCCGCCCCCCTCGACCCCCGACCCATCAGAGAGGGTTAAAGCTAAACTGTGAAAAACATTGAAGAGCCACACACAAAACTCTCGTCTTATTTAATGCACATGTAGTAAGAACTCGTAGGTGTTGTCATTATTAAAACGTCGCTGTTTTATTTCAGGAAAACTTTCGAGTCACGCTCGCAGATTAGATCTTTGTTTGACGTCCCAAATTTGTTGTAGAGTTCATGACTGGATTTATGATCATTGTTGCCAAACTAGGTGTGTACCTAAAAAAACAATAAAAATGCAGAGCAGATGTCTGAGTTTTAGTTTGTTTATCCAACACACATACACACAGACATCTGGGGTCGTCAACTATATTTGTCATATTTGTCAGAGGGCCAGACATGTTTCTTGACGAACACATTAGGGGCCGAACACGCGAATAAAGTGAAATAACTATCACATTTTCGACTAACGAAATGTAAACGTAGTCCTAAACAGTGGGGATTACTGATAGTTATTTAAGTGTCAGTTGTTGTTTTTTTCCGTTCGGTTTTTTTTTTTTTTCGGTGGGCCTGATTCGACTTGGCTGCCAGTAGGTGATCACCGCCCTGATAATAAAACAGTTGAATGCAGTAATAACAAGATAACACAGCATCACTACAGGGTGGTAATCATAAAATAAATATTAAAAATCTAAATTAAATTAACTTAAATAAAAAGATACAAAAGAATATTTACTTAAAAATAAATGTAATTTTGAATCAAAATACATAAAAAAAGTTACATTTAGTTCATAGGGACACAAGATCTGCTGGTGTGGTGTGCCTGCGTGCGTGTGCATCATTGTTTAAGTGCCAGTTTAAAATAGTCCACTTCTGAAATGTGATATTTTGGGGTGTTTCCACTCCTCCTCCTCCTCCTTCTTCTCCCTAAAATAACCTCCTCCAAAGACTACAAACGCACACACACACGCAGACTCAAACACGCTGCAGCACTGGACAGTGTGTGCAGAATGTGTGAATGCATATGAATGAAGCGGCTGTGATAATCTTACAGATATTTTGGATCTTCTCCTGTCACTGGCACGGGACCAAAGCTGAGGTAAGTTCATCCACACACCATTATCCAACTGCTGTGTCCTGATGCATGGGTTACAGTCCAAGCCGTCAACAAAACCACACCTGATTGGTTCAATCCCCAAATCAGTGTAGGGCTGAAATAAAGGACTCTGAACTGGTTCAAATGTTTTCCCAGAATTCTAACTATGTGAGACTTTAACTCTTTTAAACTTGGCCTACATGAAGTGAGGAAATACTGTGCAAGTCTTTATTGGGCAGACCTTAATGTGACCCATGAAGTGTTCTAAACAGAACAAGGGCTAAAATGACCCTAATCCAACAGAAATAAAATAAAATAAAATAATGGGAATCACATTGGGATTTATTTGTTTACAATTTAGTTAGCCTTCTACCCTGATTATCAGTTGTCCTGCTGGTCCTCAAATGTAACTTCCTGCATCAGGAAAATGGGATTGAATGTATCCAATTGTTACTTGTGTTGTGGGCCTATTCACTAGAACATCAATAACCTGCCTGTATGGACTTATCTGTGCAGAACTTGTTTCAAGTAGGACATTAAAATTACCAGCTGCTATTTACAGATTTTGGTGTGGCTTCTTTTTTAGGGTAGGGTTGGGGGGGGGGCGGGGTTGCTAAAGAACAGGTGGTGAAGAGGCAGTGCTCGCTGTTCCGCCGACCTCTGGGTCTGCGTGGTTGTTTCTAGAATTTTTCGGGTTTCATGTACATGTGCATTTCCTGTAGTGAAAGCACACTGTTGTTCCTCCTCGCCAGTTCCCAGAATGATGATGATAAGCGATGACTGTCTGGTGGAGTGTAAGATCAGCGATGACAGTGATGAAGATGAACGAGCAGGAGGAGAACACAGGAGCACTCCACATCCTCCTCCTCCTCCAGAGTTCAGGTCCAAGGCCCCGACCCCGGCCCCTAAACCTCCAACACCTCCCGCTGCTGTCCCTCCCTCTGTTACACCAACGTCTACACCCACACTGACCACTGCTGTCAGCAGAGACCCTCACGGTATCAACAAGCACTTACAGGTCCAGACTTCATCCATCGCTGCAGTTTTTTTTACTCACACTAGTTCAGCGTAAAGTGATTTCCGTGAACACGCCAGAAAATGTTGATGCATACCAGTGATAGTCAACTGGCGGCCTGTGGCCCGAATTACTAGCACTATTACTACTGCTACTTCGAATTAAACTACTGGTGTATTCACACAATATGTAGAAAGTGGGTAACATAAGGGGCCAATTGTCATGTCCTTCCATAGGGCGCAGATTTGACATTAGACCAGTGTTTCCCAACCTTTTTAGAGCCACGGCACATATATATCATCAGGAAAAACCCCACACACCAAACAACAAGTTTAATGAAATTAAATCTTCTTGTTTAATTGACCTCATAGTTGACGAAAAACACGGCCTGTTTATCTTTTGTTCATCTTTTTTTTTTTTTTTCATAGCCATCTGCTGCCACCTGGCAGAACAGTATTTAAAGAAGAATCATATGCAATAAATAAATGACAGTTTTCAGCCCAATTACGTAAAATTTGATAATTTTTCCACGGCACACCTAATGATCTCTCACTGCACACTAGTGCGCCATGGCACAGTGGTAGGGAATCACTGCATTAGACATAGATTGCTAAGAGATGACATGTAAACAAAACATTGAGAACACTGTAACACCGTCACAAAAACAGTTAAATGTTAGCAGATACTGTATAAGACACATATAGAGAGGAGATAGCCAAAATGTCTATCTGCCATACAGAAACTGTGAAGTTAGCTAAAATTTAGCCATATAATTTCTGCTTATCCAGGAGTTGTGCGTTCTTTGTACTTTGTGCAATAAGATTTTCCTTAACTTACTCATTCTCGTTCTATCTGCTGAACATTCCCGCAGTTTGCACTTGTGTGATGGTTCTGTTACTTGTCCTGTTCAGCTGGACGTCAGCGATATTCTTGCCGAACCTGCCGCTCCTCGTAGCTTGGACAAGGTGTGGTCCTACAGCATCGCAGCGTTCCAGGAGGCTCGTTTCTGGACTTACCTCCTCCTCACCACGCTGCTGGCTGTTCCAATGGCTTTTCTCTGTGGACTTTTCCTGGCTGTTCTGGCTGCTCTACACGTGTGGTAAATAGTTTGTTCCTAACACTGTCAACCCCCGTCCTTTCACCTATGTGTTTGGATTCAAACAGTGGGATTTGCATTAAATTGACTTGAATTATGAAGTTAATTATTTATTAAATGAAAGTTGGACAATTATAGAAGGCTGTATGTGGCCCGTCACTTCATTCTTAAAAATATCTTACTGACACAGGCCCCTCGACCTTCCTTTGGGCGTTTCTTCCTTACGTTATTAATTCGGCTGATTTTAATAGTTTTGAAGCTTTTTTAAATTGAAACCACGGGTGTCAAACATATGGCCCGCCGGCCAAAACTGGGTCGCTGGGGGTTTCAATCTGACCCGCTTGATGAATTGTGGAAGTAAAAAAAAAAATGCACAAACACTTCATGTTGGTGACGTTTTTGCAAACATTTCAATGAATATGAATATTTTGTAATATATTTGTACGAAAACATAGGGGGAAACATGGACTTGTTGTTATTTATAGGTAATTATGTTATGATTGTAATGGCCCGGCCCACTTGACATCTAATCAAACTGTATGTGGTCCCTGAACTAAAATGAGTTTGACAAAAAAAGTTTGACATAAATGTTTCAATATGCTTTAGAATTTACAGCTCTGTTTTTTTTTTTACAAAATGCAAATATTAATGTGTTTTGGTTAAGACATTAGAGAAACCATTCCTGACACAGTTTATCTCCTCTTCCTCCAGGTTTGTGGTTCCCTGCGTGCAGCTGAGCAACACCTTTCTACCATGTCTTACGTCTGTGTGGACATGTGCGGTTGATGACGTCATTTCGCCCCTCTGCTCGTCACTGGCGCTCTGCTGCAGCCAAATTGCGATTTCACTGTCTAACAAAGACTGGCGTCCAGTAAAGGACAAAGACGCTGCTTTGGTGTAGGATCTAACAATGATCGACTGACCAAAAAAAGAAATCACAGAACGGTCTGAAGCTGTTGGTTGGACAGAAGACCAGAATGGGCTCTGCTAGTTTGGATGGCTTCTAGATTAGATTAGATTGGACTGGACTGGACTGGACAAGACAAGACAATATTAGGTTAGATTAGATTAGATGTAAGTGTAACCTGTAGCGGCAGTCATACTGCAGCACTAACTGCTGTCATAACCACATCCAATCACAGAACCTAATTTGAATTGCAGCAACTTCTTATTTTCACACCAAAGATGCACTAAGTAGTACTACCTACTACCTAAAACCATATCAACCATCTGGTTACAAATGGCATCATTCTTATCACGTTTTTGTAAAGATTGTAGCTACAGTTCTTCAACTAATTCCCAGTATGTGCATAATACATGCACTGATGTAGATTATATATATTTTTTATTTTGTTATTACCCTAGTTTACTTCAGTGTGGTGACCAGTTACTACATATCTGCTTTGTTTTTTCATATAAATATTTTAATGTTCTTTTTTATTGGAAAAAATAATAATTAAAAATAATAATAAAAATGAATAAAGATCTCAGTTTAAAACCAGAAGATTCTTCTTTAAATTGCTATAAAAAAAGCATAAAAGGAAGTGCTTTAATGCTACCATACAAACCAAACTCTTACAAAACAAAACCTGTTATACAACTGTTAATGTTGGTGTTTGAGTCACACAATAATAAAAAGTGCCCTACAGAGGGTGAGGCAAAGAATGTCAGAGTCTTGATATTAGGAGAGGAAAATGAACTAAGCCAAATGTTAGATAACATTTTGAGGTCACATTTGTTCAGTCACATTCCATTCTTCCCATGCACCTGGATTTGTGGGTCTAAATTTTTGACTTTGGGCTAATTTTTAAAAAATTAAAATTGAAAGTAAATTGTAATTATTTAAAATGATTTAAATTATTAAAACTATATCGGGCTATTTTAAGAACTGTTATAAGTGCAGTTATTATTCTATTCTTGAACATTTTACCTCAATTAGCATAAATAATCTCCATTTTATCAATTCTGGTAATTATATTTTTGGTATTTGAATTTTTCCCTGTAGAAAAATACAACCAAATTTCGAAAAATAAATAAATTATCGCACTAAATGTTCTTGGTTATTACATGGAGGTTTTGGATTCGTTTACTTAATAGATCTATCTTTTAACTTTTGTCATTCTTTGATTAATTCTTCTTTTTTTAAGGTGTTCGATAAAAGTTAGAGGAAGAGAGATAGCAGAGAGAGAGAGAGAGAGAGAGAGAAAGAGAGAGAGAGAGGACTACTTCCTGGAAAGTCATAGAACCTAATTCCAGCGTTCAGTTTTACACAGATTTTGTTTGTCAAGTTGAAACATTTCTTCCTGCAGCCTATCAATAAATCAACACGACAAAGGTAAGCAGCTTTTAGAAAAACAAATGAATACATTTAATACATTTTTTAAAATGTATTTTGTGACTTAGTGACGCACTTACGACAGGTCGCACGCAGAATCGAAAGTAACTCACTCTTCGGTTTAGAGTTTAATGATAACTTGTAATAACTTGATAACTTTATAAAGTAGTTTATAATTGTGAAGACGTGATAACTTTATGAACTGGTTTTTGCTAATGGCCGTTAAAAAGTTAAAAGAGTAAAAAGACGTAAGGATGGCCGATAACCGTAGGGGTTTCAGGGAAAGGGAATGATGACCCTCCTTAAGTCCCTCCGAGAGTTGAGCAGGACAGGGGACACAACACCCTGAGACTTCTAAATTAAACACACCCTAATCTTAGTCCTTGCTGAGTCTCCATTGTATATTGAATACTATTGTGTTGATCTAGGCAGTTGGTAGGTGTTCACAGAAGTACTACACAGTGAACAAAAGAGTACCTGCTGAGTACTTTTCTGTCAGAGTGACAGAATGGCAGCAGCATTTGGTGAGTCCAACTTACTTCTTTAGTTTCATCTAAAAAAACTATGATGGTTGAACTTTTTAAATGGTGAATCTGTTCACGCCACTGATACGTCTGTTTCTTTCATTTCTTTAAAGGAACCTTTGACCAGAAGCCAATGAAGCGTGTCAGCAGCCTTGAATTTTTGCCACCTAATTGTGAGTGAAACATATTTTACGTTGTAACGACTAAAGCTTATGTCTAATCTTTTTTTTTTGCTGCTGAATTGGATGACCACCAGTTTCTAATGGAGCTAGAACAGTCTAGAATAAATACACAACCAAGGATTCACAAATGTACTTGTTGTCTAATGCACATTTATAACGTGCTTTTAATTGGTAAATCTTCGTACATTTGTTTGTGGATTTTTTAGACTCGTCTAGCGTGGACCAGATACACAAATTAATTATTTCTGCATGGGGCCCGTCAGCAGCCAATGAGGTGTCTCGTTCGTTTGAAACTAATCACATGACTGTACTTCATCACTTTATGGCATTTGAAAAACAGGGGAATTTTGGCATTTTGAATTTTCAAAATGCATTTGTAAATATTCCAAATGCATTTGTGAATCTTTGTTTATGTATTTATTCTTTTTGAACCTGTTCTAGCTCAATAGTTTCCACAGCAACTGTGTAAACATTATCTGTGTAACAGTTTTATGAACTCCCTATTGACCCCAGTCAGTTATTGATTAATCTGCCTGCCCTAAAATTCAATCGCTGAAGTGTATAAAATGTCCTTATGGTTGTATTAAGAGCTGATTCACAGCGTTTTACCTTGGGTAGGAATTTACAAAAATGAGCTTTAAAATACTTTTCAAGAAATTATACAGTACAAGCAAAAAACAAACCAACAAACATAGAGGCTAAAAGGGAAAACAATATAGTATAGTTTGTTTTCCTACATTGTTAATAAGTAAACCATTAAAATCCTGTTCTGTCCAAGTACACTTGGAAATGTTGTAAAACTGATAAGTTTTCAGATTTACTACCAGAATGTGTCTCATATGCCTTGAACTAGCCAAAGGTTTCCTTGCACGAACACAGAGGTGTAGCTCAAACAGGCTACCACTAGATGGAGGCATAGAGGGCAATCCAACTTAATTCAAACTAAAAATGTACTAAAAATAAAATCAAACATAATTACTTTAAATTAAAAATAACCATTAAATAAAAATGAAATAAATGTTGCTATGAGATTGTTTTTTATAATATTGTTGGCTGAAGGTATAAATGTGACTGAAACATAATTTGTTGAAATGCTTTTGATTTTTTTGACAGTTTCTGAGCTGAGGGTTGCTGTGCTGGGGAACAACTGGAAGAAGAGCTGTTCAGTCGGGAACTTAATCCTAGAAGAGGAAAAGTTCAACACCGAGGAAGAACCAGGGAGGTTTTTGAGAGCCAGAATAGAGAGACAAGACAAAGCATTATTTCTAATCATCATCCCAGACTTTCTTCAACTCACCATTTCTGACACAGAAATACAAGAACAGCTCTCTGATCTTGATCCTCATGTGTTCCTGCTGGTGCTACACATTGACACCTTCACTGAGGAGTACGGACTGAGGCTCTCCAGAATCCTGCAGCTTTTTAGTGATGACTCATTCGAGCACTCGCTGATTCTGATGTCATCACAGAGGGAGGTGGGTTCGGATGAAAACTACAGATGCCATACCCATTTATATAACATGGTCAAACTGTGTAAATACAGGTACTTGAGAGAGAAGAACTTTGAACGTGAAGAACTTATAGTACGACTGGGTCAGACCGCAAAGAAAAAAAGCAGTGACGTGATAGAGGAGCAGGACGCAGGTTTGCTGATGAAACCGTCTTCCAGACATGATCGTCTTAACCTGTTTCTGTATGGGAGAAGAGAAGAAGACAAAACGTTGGCAGCTAAGGCCATTTTATGTCAGACAGAGCTTCGTCCAACTTCCATCTCACCAGTGTGTGTACAACATAATGGAACGGTGGCTGGATGCTGGGTTTCGTTAGTGACATTTTCTTCTGTGTATGGTAAACCTCTGGAGCTAGTAATGAAGGAATCACTCAGGTCTATGTCACGCTGTGATCCTGACGGAGTCCACGCCTTCATTCTTGTTCTTCCTACGGTGCCCCTCACTGATGAAGACAAAGAAGAATTGGAAACTATCCAGAACATCTTTGGTCCAGAAGTTACTGACTTCACCATGATAATGGCTGTGGAGGACGACAGTAAAGAGCTCTGGGAGAGCAGTGGAGACAGACATGTTGTCGTTTACATGAGGGACCAACAGCAGATCTCTGAGATGTTGGAAGACATGACCAATAAAGGATCCTTCACCAGGGACATGTTTACTCAGGCACAGATTAACAAGGTGGTTGATCAGGAAAAAAACATTAAAGTCAAAGCCGAACTCGAAGATGTCAGACAGAGATGTCAGATAGAAGAGGATGTCAAAGATCTGAGCAGAGAGCCTCTCAGGATGATACTGACTGGAAAGAAGGGTTGTGGGAAAAGTACAACAGCAGGCACAATTTTGGGAAAAAAGTTTTCAAAGAAGTCATCCTTTTCAAGAGGAAACAGAGCAGAGTCAGGAATGATTGAAGGTCGGTCCGTCAGTCTGGTCACAACTGCTAGTTCAGCAAAGACACAGTCTGAGATTACCCGTCAGTCTGGTCACAACTGCTAGTTTATCAAGTTCAGCAAAGACACAGTCTGAGATTAAACAGGAGCTTCATAAATGCATCCGTCTCTTGGCCCCTGGACCTCACGTCTTCTTACTGGTGATGCAAATTGGAAATATTGATGCAGAGGAAAAGAACAGTCTGGACCTGATCAAGAATGCTTTTGGAAAAGAGGCAGAACGTTTCACATTCATCCTTTTCACAGCAGCAGATAAACTGGGAAACCAATCCTTTGAGAGTTACATAAAACACGAGGATGACTTCATTCAACAACTAATCCAAGACTGTGGAGGAAGATATCATGTTTTGAATAACCACAACACAAACTTCGAAGAAGTGCAAGAGCTGTGGACCAAAATTGACCTTATGTTGAAACAAAATGGTGGCAGCTGCTACAAGATGTCTGACAGCAGTGAGGAAGAGAAGCAAACAACATTGGAAAATATTTCTGAAATAAAGGAAGCCATTAAGAACATGGAGAGAAAACACATGGATGAGTCACAAACAATGAGAGAAAAAATTAGTGAACTGACAAAGGAGGTTAAGCAAAAAGAAAAACAGTTGAGGGAGGAGTGTGATAAAAGAAAACATAGAAAGACATGGGAAATAAAAGAAGCAGAATTGCTAAAGGAGCAGAAGAACAAAATGGTAGTACGGAAAGAAAGAGAGCAGAGAGAAAGTACAGAGAAGAAACTGAGGGAGTGTCAAAGAGAACTGAAAAAAGACCGGGAGACTTGGGATAAGGAGAAAAAGGAACTGTGGGAACAGAAGAGCTTGTACTTAGAAAAACAACTGGATGAAGAGAAAACCAGATATAACCAACTCTATCAACACTACAGGAACAACCAAAGGGTGTGGAAAGGCTCCCTCATGGTCATGGTTGTGGCATTTCTTTATTTGTTATATTATATTTTTCAACTTATATTTTATTATGCAAACCAATATGTCAGAAAAAGTGCCACAGAAGAAGACCTGTGACCAGTGAAGTGAACCGACCCTAACACAGTTTACTTCAAGTTAAAGTAAAAAAAATAAAAAAACGTTTTTCGTTAGATCCGAAAATTAAATGGCTGTCGGAGTATGTGCAAACAGAACAAGTGGTAAAACTGGCTGAGATTGTTTTTATTTTCGAGTAAGAAAGGTTTGCTTTAAAAAAAACATGCAGCGAAGCCAAAGTAGTAAACGAATTAGCCATCAACAGATGTAAAAAAAAAGGGTAAAATTTAAGTTAGAGTATGTGCAAACAGAACAAGTGGTAAAACTGGGTGAGATTGTTTTTCTTTTCGAGTAAGAAAGGTTTGCTTTAAAAAAAACATGCAGCGAAGCCAAAGTAGTAAACGAATTAGCCATCAACAGATGTAAAAAAAAAGGGTAAAATTTAAGTTAGATTTGTCCATTTTCTCGTGACATTTGTGATTTATGGATATTTATAATTAAATGCTGTTTCTACTACATAATTTATGGGTAGTATGAATGCTAATAAAAACTGTGATTATATTTTTACAGACAAAGTTTTACAGGAATTTACACTGTCTGCCAAGCTACAGCACACGTCATTGTGCAAAATGTGAATGTGTTTTAATGTTGACAAAGTGTTGTAAACATCAAGAGGCCAAGAGCCACATTTTTACTATGTTACTGGAAAGAGTTCCACTGATAAAGGGAAACACAGACATAAACTGTATAGGAAAACAAGAAAGAAACACACCCCAAGTACCCAACACATATGTCAAAATATAAAATAAATATCTAATCGAGGAAAACTAAGGTTATTTTGGTATTGCATATGATTATTGCGCATGTTTTTTATTCTTCTATTTTCTAGACAGTAGATTTGTTTGACTGCACTATGAGGGATTTCTGATCACATGACTAAAATTGTTTATTTAATGTACATAATACATACTTTTTTATTTATGTAAATGTAGTAAATTTACGTAGTTTTTTAAACTACAGGTCATCCACAAATGTTTAAATAAAACATACTTTCTCTAAGACCTGACATCTTGGCCGTGTAAGCCTTTGTTTAACAATGGTTCTTTATTATTTGATTATTTTTTAACAAGCTGTAACACTGCTGATCCAATCCTCAAATACCAGTATCCCAACATACAACCTGCACTTGCTGTAACTAATAATATAATATAATATCATAATATCCTCTTGATGTAACATATTGTCTAATTTCTTTGATTGTAACACCACAGCTCTGTAAACATGGAGTCAAATACCATGTATGTGCTCAGTCTGGTCACAACTGTCAGTTTATTAAGTTCAGCAAAGACATAGTCTTAAGCTTAAACAGGAGCTTCATAAATGCATCCGTATGTATGTATATATCTTTTTCCTTTTACAAATAATATAATATAATATAATATTATAAAATCCTCTTGATGTAACATATTGTCTAATTTCTTTGATTGTAACACCACAGCTCTGTAAACATGGAGTCAAATACCATGTATGTGCTCAGTCTGGTCACAACTGTCAGTTTATTAAGTTCAGCAAAGACATAGTCTTAAGCTTAAACAGGAGCTTCATAAATGCATCCGTCTCTTGGCCCCTGGACCTCACGTCTTCTTACTGGTGATGCAAGGATGCAGAGGAAAAGAACAGTCTAGACCTGATCAAGAATGCTTTTCAAAAAGAAAAACAGTTGAGGGAGGAGTGTGATAAAAGAAAACATAGAAAGACATGGGAAATAAAAGAAGCAGAATTGCTAAAGGAGCAGAAGAACAAAATGGTAGTACGGAAAGAAAGAGAGCAGAGAGAAAGTACAGAGAAGAAACTGAGGGAGTGTCAAAGAGAACTGAAAAAAGACCGGGAGACTTGGGATAAGGAGAAAAAGGAACTGTGGGAACAGAAGAACTTGTACTTAGAAAAACAACTGGATGAAGTTATAGTAACTATAGTAAGGCATGTTTTGGGTGATTTTTGAAATATTTATATAAAATACTTTTTGGACTTTTAAACACAAAATATTCACTTGGCAGCATGTTTCAGGACATAATCTTGCATTTTAGTGCATTTCGGGGACTTTTCGGTGATTTTTGAAATATTCATATAAAATACTTTTTGGACCCCTAAGTCATGGTTTTGGGTGAATTTTGAAATATTCATATAAAATACTATAATCTTGCATTTTAGTGCATTTTGGGGACTTTTTAGTTTTATGGATTTTTTCACGATGGTAAGTCATGGTTTTGGGTCAAAGTTACAAAGTTACTCACAAAGTGACTTTGTGAGTAACTTTGTAGGTGCTAAGTCACTTTGTGAGTAACTTTGTAGGTGCTAAATCTGGCTTGACGCTAACAAGTGCATATGGCAAATATGATATTCAGTTATAAAATTTAAATGTTTGTATGGGTGTGATTATTAATCTCTGACATTTATTTTTACTGCTGTATTTGGTTGATAGGTGGCAGTAAGTGGCTGTAACGATCGTTTAAAGCAGTTCAAGCCAAGAAGAAGGAGATTTTCTTAACCATCATGCATTGCGCCGCCGCCATGTTTGTTGTTGTCAGTGACGCACAGCGGGATTGACGGCTTTACTTTTTCGTAAAACAACCTTTGTCGTTTTCCTGTGGATTCTGCCATCTTTTTTATTATTTTTGTGTTCATTGCTGTTGTGGTAAACATGGCGCAGTATAAAGGAGCGGCCAGTGAAGCGGGCAGAGCCATGCAGCTAATGAAAAAGCGAGAGAAAGAGCGAGAACAGCTTGAACAAATGAAGCAGAAAATCGCTGAGGTTAGAGAAGGTTCACTTTATTTAAAATGAAACTTCGTTTGTTCTTTGCAGACACCGTTGACCACGCATTTAAAATACTAAAAACGTTTTTTTAATGTCCAACTTTGCTAACATTAACAACTGTCGTGTCTGTTTTATAGCCGTTTAAATCACCTATAATGTGTTTATCACTGGTCAGCCAATTAACAATTAGTTGTAAATCTACTAGTACGACCAAAAATGTAGTCAAATATTCATAATGCATATTCATAACTTCAACGAATGTTGCTAAATGTAGGCTAAGGCGGGCTACAAATGGCAGAATTTAGTTACAAAATAAGCAAAAGTATTTTATACTGCCCATCATAGGACCTGTCTGCTACCCTTGTACAGTTTATGCTCAATAATGATGTTTTTGTTCCACTAGGACAACATAGCCAAGTCCAACATTGATAAGAAATTCTCAGCTCACTACGATGCTGTTGAAGCAGAGCTTAAATCCAGCACCGTGGGTAAGTATTAGTTCACTGCTGTTCCATCTGAACTCTATGTACTGTATTGGAACAACGCTTTTGTCAGGGTTCATATATTTTGGTAACAAATATGCAAGTCGTATATTGTACAGTAATTTAAAAACTGTAACAGAGGTAATGGAACAGCTGTACAACATTTGCATCCAGAAAATATACAGAAAATGCACTTAAAAAAGAAAAATATTTTCCCATATGAAGTGTCCTGTTTATGTGTGTTTGTGAATCAGGTCTGGTGACTCTGAATGACATGAAGGCCATGCAGGAGGCGCTAGTGAAGGAGAGAGAGAAACAGCTGGCCAAGAAGGAGCAATCCAAAGAACTGCAGCTGTGTGTTTTTACTGCTATTCCTCTGATTTAATATTCTTGTTTTTGCTCAGAAATAGAAGAACTGAGAACATAGCGTTGTATAATTTATTGTTGATGCTTTTGTCCTTCATAGCAAACTAGAGAAGCAGAAAGAGAGGAAGAGAAAAGAGGAGCAGAAGAGACAAATTGCACTGTTATCCTTTAATGATGGAGAAGAAGGGGATGAAGATGGTGATGGCGATGGTGATGATGATGAGGAGGAGGAAGAGGAGGAGGACCAAGAATGTGAGAGCTCAATTTTACGCTTTTGCCACATTTCTAGCTGCAGCAACACATGAAATTCCACTTCATTGCTGACTTTATTTTTTTTTTGCCCAGATGTTCCACCAAAGAAGAAACTGGGGAAAAACCCTGATGTGGATACAAGTTTCCTGCCTGATCGTGACAGAGAGGTGTGTGCGCGTGTGAGTGCATGTGTGACGGTTCATGTGGATTTTTGAGTTTTACATGGAGGATTTCTCTGTATTTTGTGTCCAGGAGGAGGAGAATCGACGCAGAGAGGAGCTGAGGCAGGAGTGGAAGCAGAAGCAGGAGAAGATCAAGAGTGAGTGTCAAACACATGGTACTTCTCACATATGGATCTTGTAAATTAGGGGATCTTAAGGTCACTAGAGTACAGTTGAAGCCTGTAGGCTGATTTATTATTGTGTTAGCTCTGTAGAGAACCAGGGCCATATGGCCATACTTTGGAATTCTAGGAATAAAATCTGTTTTTCATAAACTAATATTTTCAGATTCTTTTGTAAAATACTGAATTTAAAAAAAGCTTGCAAGTTGCAAATGTTTGCTTAACATTTTTTTACATTCAAACTTTTTTGGCAGAAAAATAGTGTAGTGTTTTTCTAATCCACAGGTGAAGAAATTGAGATTACTTTTAGTTACTGGGATGGAGCTGGTCACCGGAGAACAGTTAAGGTAAAACAAATAATGAGGTCTGACACTCGAGGAACAGGAAATACTGGGATGTACTGCTAATAGCCAAATCATCCCTGAAGGACACTCGAGGAACAGCAAATACTGGGACGTACTGCTAATAGCCAAATCATCCCTGATTTATTGATTCTACACTTGTTGCAGATGAAGAAGGGTAACACCATCCAGAACTTCCTGCAGAGGGCGCTGGAAGTCCTGAGGAAAGACTTCAGTGAGCTCAGGTGAGACAGAATTTAAACTGATCTGCAGTTAAACATTATCCAGGCTCAGATTAATATTAGCTTTAATTAAACCTAGACAATTACTGCCAATGTGAACTGAGTTACCTCTGTATAATATCTCTGAGGTTAATTTGGAGAACATCTTGGACCCTGTTTGGTTTAATAGTGTGGTGGTTAACATGCCTGCCAAATATGCAAAATGTCCTGGGTTCAAGCCCCAGTGGAATCATAAACAGTATCCTCCTCATGTAAGGGCCTTTGTATGAAAGCATCTGTGACAATTGCTTAATTTCCCACAAACGGTAATGATTGACATCCCTAGTTTAAAGCAATTTTGTTTTCAACATTTCCCACTTACCATGTTACTGTTAACAATAACTGTTACTGTTATTGTAAGAGCCGATATGGAGAAGGCAATGGTTCATGTTCTGATGATAATGCAGTAAATTATAAACTGTCTCAAGCTGTACTGAGAATAGAGTTGTCTGGAGATCAGTAATACAGTACTAAAAGCTCTAACCAGGAAATTATGGTTATATTTTGCTGTGCAGGTCTGCAGGGGTGGAACAGTTGATGTACATCAAGGAGGATTTGATTATACCACATGTAAGTACTTGGAATCTCTGTTCAGGAGCTCATAACTAAAACCAGATGTCATCAGACTCCTTCACACTGATGATTTTGAAACCCAGCGTTTACAGAGTACAATCACATCTTGTTGTGAAATAGGTTAGCCGCTATGTTGATCAGGAGATTAGACGTTACATTTGTTTAGTCATGCAACACCAAAAGAAAAGTATGTCAGTTGTCAAAAGGACCCCTGCTGTTCAGCAGTGGTACTGAACCACTTGACATGTTCTCATCTTCAGAAATAGAAAGTAAGTCAGAGAGCATGCAACATTGCAATGCAAAAACTGAAAACATTCATTTTACCTCTTTTTTTCTTTGTATTTTTCAGCATCACAGTTTTTATGACTTCATTGTCACAAAAGCAAGGGGTAAATCTGGTAAGTCACATTTTTTCATTTATACACTGATATAAAAAAGTTTTTTTAAATTTCACGTTTTTTTTATCTTTTTTTTTTCTCCACAGGGCCACTCTTTAGCTTTGATGTCCATGATGATATTCGGCTTGTGAATGACGCCACTGTGGAAAAAGATGAGGTTTGGTTTTCTGCCGAAAAAAAAAACACAACGGGAATCCAATCAGCTAAAACCTGTCAAACACATGTTTTTGTAGTAAATCTGAACTCAATGTGTCAACACATCCACACAACATTGAATGCAAATATTGCAAAAGATTGTTGAGAGAATTTAGCCAAAACAGCAATTAATGTGAGCGTTGTGTTGACAAGTTAGAGCTTTAGTTGCAGTATATCACCGTAGCTACGAGTAAGCTAAAAAAGATCATTTAAAGTTAGTCAAAATGTCTCTGTTTGTAAAAAATAAACAAACAAACAAACCGAATAATTAAACATTCAGAAGTTAAACTTAGTTGTTTTTGATCATCATAATAAATCCAGTTAAATGAAAAAGCAATATTTGGCACTATGTTGGGTTTTTCCAATTAAAAATACTGCCACCTACCTGGCAGTGTCTGCATCAGTTTTAAATGTGTTAACTGCCAGAAATAAGGAAACTAATTATTAAACACATACGTTGTTTACACATTACTTCGTGATAACATAGCTGACATAACTTTTTTCCTCCAGTCTCATGCAGGTAAAGTGGTTCTGAGAAGCTGGTACGAGAAAAACAAGCACATCTTTCCTGCCAGTCGCTGGGAGCCTTACGATCCAGAGAAGAAATGGGACAAATACACGGTAAGGAGCATTTCTGCCTATATAATTCATATTTAAACTCCCCTGTTGGGTTTTGTCCTGAGATTATTCTCACTCTGGATCTTATCAGTGAAGAAGAAAGGCTTTTGTGTGTTTTTAAAATGTTCCTTCTACGATCCTGCTACATGAAGTCACTCTGCTTTTAGCCTCAGGCCTCCGTTGATTGTTTAGAATGCAGTTATCTTAAATTGGAACGGGTTTTCACGACAACTTTGAAGGGCCTTATACCTCAGCCTAGAACATGAGCACATAAACACTTTTATTTCATTGGCGTGTGTAGACACTCAAGTAACAAAGGGAACATGTTATTCAGGTATTCAATTGGCTGTTTTTTGGCAAATTTAATCTTTTTGTTTATTTAAAGTTAAAGTTTTTTTTCTCTGTTTCTATGCGTGCATTAACCTTTATTGTTTACCTTTTTGACGACTTGCTGTATGTATTTTAACTTCAATTTAGCTATTCTACTCATTATTTGGTCTTAATGAGCGTGTGTGGCTAACATAATGCTGCTGTTTTCCGATATAGTGAGCACATTGTATTTAATCACAGATTATTGTAAGTGTCAGTCTGGTACGTTTTTGTTTAACTTAAGGTAATGTGTTATTTTTTTTAAATGGACAGCATTTAGTTCCGTCTGAACCATTTAGAGCTTTTTTTATCTTTTTTGCCAGCTAATGCCGCTGTGTTGTATTCTCTGATGGGCCCCTTAGATTTTCTCAGTATTTCTTACCTGTAGCCATTTGTCTAAAAAGTTTATGGTATAGAAGCGTGAGAGAGCTGTGAGCCAGGCCTTTGAAAGGCCCTTATTAAACTAAACAGTTTCCTGGAAACCATGTAGGAAAACAAACAAAATGTTCATAAAAGGCATATTGTTCTGCCTCTGACGCAAATCAACATGAAATAAAAATGATTGCAGTAAAAAAACAGCTGTTCTTAATCGAACATGATTTGCTTTTCCCTAAATGTTGGTCAATATATTGAGAGAAATAATAAATAACAAATGATGTTCAGTAGGTTGACATCTTTACAGCTTTCTTCCACATGTAGCCTGAAGTGCTGTAAAAGGCAGAGCAGGGAGAACGTACAAAAGCTACAGCTGGTTCTGCCCATAATTGACATTGTCCCTGATAACAAAGTTTTCCAAATACAGGGCCCCCAAATAGCATTAGCTTCTGGCCAGGGACCCCCTTTGTAAACCCACAAACAATGCTACAAAATATGTAAAGAAACATCTTTACAATTTATATTCACTATTCAATATTTATTACATTTGTTTAGCATAAGTAAATTATTAACAAACATGTTTTTAAGCACCTATCTAGCTAGCTAGCTACAGGCTAGCTTGAGAAGCAGTGCAGCTTGATAACAGGTGCAAACCACTAGGTCTACACAAATGTTATGTAATGTTGTCATGTTAAATTTCAGTTTCACGCCAGGTGCGTTCAGGTACCATCAGAAACTTGAGAATCTGACAATAATGGGACTTTTACGTGTTGTATGGTTCAGGATGAATACATTTCTAAAAGAAAATTAATTTGCTTCCTGTTTTTTTTTTTTTTAATCAACGCCCACTGGTGGCCACCCAGGGTGCCGCAGCCCCCACTTTGAAAACCACCGCCTTATGACTTTTTATTGTATATGACCTTCGATCCTGACACTTGTTACAAATGCACCTTATTCACTCCTAGTCGTAGCAACCATTCTGGGTGATGATTTCCTGTTGAAGGTGTCCTTAAAAAAAAAAAAGTTAAATGTCTGAAAATTGATTTTAAAAGTGTGAACGGAACTTAATGTGACACTGAGAGCTGAAATTTAATTCCAGTTTTTCAGTGTGTGTGTGTGGGGGGGGGGGGGTTTCCATAAATGTTATCTGTCTGTCCATCCTGTCGCCTGCTAAACTAGCTCACACTCAGAAATCTAATGTAGCTCCTGCTCCGTTACTTATTTTGAAAATTGGTACATATTGGATAAGTTTGGACTATGTCTCTGTTTTCTCAGATC